CCATCTGGAGGCCATCGCTACATGCTGGAGGCCATCGCTAGTAGGTTTAATAAAGACATTGGACACCTCGGTTCAAAGCTTGTGCCAAACCACCGAACCCACGCCTGTGGATCTCTGATCCACTGCAACTCCATCAGCAGTGTGTAGCCCACGGTCTCACATAGCAAACAAACATTTTGTGAAGAAACACGACACAAATGGACACTGATTGCAGTACGCCAAATCTCTCCAAATCTTCAAAGGAGTTCTTTGTCCCTTATAGACAGATGTACCCACGACTGTTTATGTGTATCTGGTCGATGCTACCATTAAGGAGTGGGTCGTGTGCCGCTAGCTTCCACCAGAAAATCAGTTGGCACAACAGCCACTCGAAGAATAGAAACAATAAGCTACTAGGAACAAGTGCATCGCTACTAGGAGCAAGGGCCTTACTAGTAGTAACAAGAAGCTATTAGAAACACTCTTCGCATCATGTCGGGAATCTTCTTGCACACAGGCTTCTCCCACGAGTCCGACAGCTTCGGTCGATGCCGAAAACAAGGGCATTACTACTAGTAGCAAGGACGCTACTAGGGGCTCCTGGCCTACTACTAGGAACAAGAAGCTACTAGTAGCAAGGGCATCGCTACTAGCAACAAGGGCATTACTACTAGTAGCAAATAGCTATCTAGTAGCTTCTTGCTACTAATAGTAATGCCCTTGTTGCTAGTAGCGATGCCCTTGCTGCTAGTTGCTACCTTACCTTTTTTATTTCCTTATGTTTCTTTATCTGTCCTTTTCTTTGCACCTATAGGCTTTTCTGTTTCTTTCCTTTCATTCGTATGTCTGATACTACCAACCAGAAGACTTTCCAAGACCTTGGTTGGGTCTGGACGCCACGACCAACCCCCTGTATAGTAGAAACAGGAACAGTCTACAGTATGTCAGTCTATGCTTGACACCGCTTCATTCTTTTCAACCTCGGTATCCAAGAAACCTGTTTTCAGCGTCATTTCAGTGTCTTTCGTTTCAGTCGCCCAATGCTCAAGACCACCGGCCTTCCGATCCGAGTTCCGCTGATCAGCGAAGCCACCCGCTGAGAGGGACATGCCATGAAGAGCTGCATATGGGCCTTGGAGAACATGAAAACAAAGGCATTAAAATGCATGAATAACATACATGCATGTTAATTATAACAGTAGCAAAACTCCTTTACATTCATAGGTCATAGGAGTCGTAGGCGATGAGCAACTTCACGATCAGTAACTGGTAAAGATGCAAGCACAACAAAGATGCAAACACAACCTCCAACCTAATAGCGTCCTTGCTCCTAGTAGCGATGCCAGGAGCCCCTAGTAGCGTCCTTCCTCCTAGTAGTAAGGCCAGCCCCTAGGCCCTAGTAGCTTCTTGTTCCTATTAGCGATGGCCTCCAACTAAAATCAAAAGCTCTCGTGGACAAGACGCCTTGGGCGCGTTGATCAACCAATCAACCTGTGTATCAATTCTTCGTCTAACTGGCAAGGTGCACTCATTGGCACGGACATGGGAGCCTTCCTTCACACCAGCAGGCCGCACCTGCGACTTCAAAAGGAAATCAGCTTTACAAGGTTACCAACAAAGAGAAGGAGACCATCAAACTTCTTGTCACCTCAATGTAAAGTTAAAATCTAACCATATACATATCGTCTTTTTTCGAACTTCCGAACTTGGTCACTCTTCACTACTCTTCGCCTGGAACTTGCCCGTGGAGGCCGAGCCCCATAAGGGTTGCTGCCGTTTCCAGCTCAGCGGGAAATAGCGCGCCAGCGTCATCCGTTCCATGTGAGAACGCTTCACCACCCTAAGCCGATCAAGACCGACGAGGCCGACAGGGCCGACAGGCGACGTCCACAAGTAGCGTCCTTGCTCCTAGTAGTAATGCCCTTGTTACTAGTAGCGATGCCCTTGTTACTAGTAGCGATGCCCTTGTTACTAGTAGCGATGCCCTTGTTACTAGTAGCGATGCCCTTGTTACTAGTAGCGATGCCCTTGTTACTAGTAGCGATGCCCTTGTTACTAGTAGCGATGCCCTTGTTACTAGTAGCGATGCCCTTGTTACTAGTAGCGATGCCCTTGTT